ATCTCATATATAAATATATGACAAATAATAAACTAAAGCTCTACAAGACAATTATTTTTTTCTATCTTGCAAATTTTTTTGCTCAAATTAGGATTGATTTTTTTTTTAAACTAATGGAAGTTGCAAAAAAAAAAATGAAACAAAATAACAAAACAAAACGAAGATATGTGTGTGAAACAATGATGCCCCGATATGACATCTCATGGCTAAGCTTAGAGTTTCTCAAATGCAAGTCAAATTCCAAGGTCAGTGTCAGAAGATACAAAGAAAAAGTCTCGTCTCAGGAAATATAACTGTGAAATATGAAAGCCCTAGTACCAAACATTGAAAAGTTATGGCAAAGGTTTAAAAGTTTTATGAAAAAAATTCAAATATCAAGGACAAGTATATATATATATATATATATATATATATATATATATACTCAGCTAGGTTAAGGACTCCCATATCTACGTTAGCCTATGCAGAGGTTTGGGAGAGCTATTATGACGTCACGTTTAAAAAACAATACAAATGAATCTCGATGAATAAATACTATAATAATAAATGTTCTTTTTAAAACACACGAAATACTTTCGTTTCTCATAAATGTTATAAAAATAAATCGATGTGCAACTTATCTTGCCATAATAGCACTTAGCGTATGCTGAATGAAAGCCAGCTTGATCTCGCTGTACTTACTGAGATGACGTCATTTCTTAGTTTGACACGCAGTTTCTCTGTATTTGAGCCGAGGATCAAACTTTTATCGTGGCTTGTAAAATGAAAATAAATACGAAACATGCGTAGTCTGACAAAAAGAGAGACATATTCTGAAATATATTTAATCCACATTTTATTGTCTAACTAAATTGATAATGTGTAGACTTTATATATAGCCGTAGGGAGCACATTTGTACAGTAACGTGCTAGAATGAGGGGTCCAGCCTCTCGAAAATATCAAAATTCAACGATATCCGTTTCACTATAAATTCTGAATTTTTAAACACGTGTAGCCATTATTCCTACTATTCTGAAAAGTGCTGGGAGCTGGTTGTACATCGTTTATTTATTTCGTAATCTAACATTATTCCAATGCGTATTACATGGAGTTTATAGAAAGACGGCTAAATTTTAAACAATTCTCAAGCATGAGGAAGTTGCTCCCAGCACTTTTCGGGTTAAGGAATTTGTCTCAAAGAAAACAAAATAAATTTTATAGCGGAAGAATGCCCGTATATCGTTGCACTTTTACGATCTTTGTAGTAGTACATATATGGTCCAATTTTAAACCTGTCACGTGACAAACAGCTGATGTAAGCGATGTCACTTTGGCCGAACTCGGTAGAGACCCGATATATACAAATGCAATCACCACAATTCACATTTATCAAAACTACTGCTGTTAAAAAATATTAAAATTGTATTCATTTTCCCTGAATATATAAAGGCGTATATTTCATGGGCGTCCTTAACCTAGCTGCGTATATATATATATATATATAGTATCATTTCCTAGTTCCCATTGTTTGATGATTGTATAATGTATTCTATACTACGTATGGTCATTGAGGTATGTTCCAGTGCAAATAGGAGTTTCTTGAAAATGAATAACTTTTTTACTTCTGTCTATAGATACTCTTTGATTGGTTTGACAATAATTATCCTGACAGTCCAACAAGCTTAAAATGGGGGAAAACATACACATTAGAGGTATTACAATTTTCTTGTTCGTTGTCTTCCAGGGTGTGAGAACACAGGAACAATGTTTTGAGTCCATAAAAAGTTTTTTTTTTTTTTTTTTTTTTTTTTTTACATGACTGAATTTAGTTTAAAAAGAACCATAGCCAAAGCAAGGTCGTCATCATTTTCACTTTTATCTGAAACAAAGAAAAACCAGTACATGAGTAGGGCTGAATTGAATGCCACACATATCATTTTCAATAATGACAACTATTTTTATTTGTAATCGGAAATAAATTAAATAATCTTCTCTGTGTTCCAGGGGCAATTGCAATTTATGTTTAGCTAGATGTAGAAAGAGGAAAAGAGGGGAATAATTTAAGCTGTAGGAGTATTTTAGAGAGTAACACATGGAAAGCATTCGTTCAATAGAGCAGTGTTATAAGAAATCTGAAAGAATTTTTAACAAAGTATGTAAATTTTAATGTAAAAAGCTCCGAGATGTTGTGCATACTTATCAATGGAAGTTCAAAATTTAATGATTTGACGGGGGTTCAGAATTTCCCAGAGGGTCTGTAATTTTCATTGACTGACAGGCCCTATGGGACACTGGTGCTAAAAGGCTTATGGTAATGTTTACACACCGGGAAAAGAATGAATACAATTTAGAAGAATGATACTGGGATTCTAAAATTAACTACAAATCAAGAATCATAACTCAAAAGAATTGGTTTTAATATCAAAAATATTATTTTGGGTGAAATACCACTCACTAAAGATAACTTAATTATAAACTTTGTTATATTATACACAAAGCAGTATATTTTTACTTGCTCATTACAGTGTAAAAAGCCAAACATTCTTGGTCTAATATATCATTTGAAAATTAAATATAACATTGAGAGATCTGTATCAATTTATAACTCTAAACTGTCAATTTTTGATAAAAAAAAAATGGGACTTCTGGAAGAAAATGTTTGAACCCAGTTGACATGTTTTTTTGTTTTTGTTTAAAGCCAATTAATCTATTGAATATTATTGAATGTTTTATATCTGATTTTGATAACTGCATTTTATTATTGGTGAATAATTGATCAAGTGAATTCTTTTTAACGCAGCCTTCAATTTCCTTCTGTATAATTCCAGTTCAATCCGATATGTGCGAGTGGATGTATGAATGCTTGCGTGTATAAAAAATCCTTTGTATACTGCCTTGTAGATATTTATATGTAACTATATATTGACATGTATACAATGGATAATGTAAACAAAAAAAAAGAATCATAATTCATGGAATTGAATCAGACAAACTTTGAACAGAATATTTTTCTTCTTAATGCTACGGTTAATGTGTGTAAGATACTTTTTGATTTTTAAATAAAAATTCTAGAGTCTAAATGCAACTTGAAACTTCATTCTGACGTGACCCTCAATGGGATATGATGCCTTCAGAGTTTTTTTTACAGCAACTATCAGAATTTCGCAGCGTAACAAAGATCTGATTTTAATCAGATTGATCGGGATGCTGTCATTTCTTTTAGGTTCTAATTTATGCATCTCCCTCCAGATATCACTTGGATTCTCTGTTATAAGTGCTTCAATGTTTAAGGCTAAATTATGTCTATAATTTCTCTCATGAAATCTGAGTTGTTTATCAAAATTTCTCTGTGCTGCTACAAACAATTACTGTAAACGTACATCTCGTCTACTCTTTTGTCCTACGGCTTTACGATTTTTTTTTTCACTTTTATGTAACTTTTTTTTCCATATTTCTGAGAGTTCCTACATGTAGTTCCGGTAGGGCTTATTGTACTTCAATAGTTTTGGGAACTTATTTGGATTCCTAAAGACGGTATTTTTTCTTCCATTTCAGTTGTGATAATACTACACAGTTTGTCATAGAAATTATCGATTTCATCTTGTCTTTCTCTTCATATTTTTATTTGACATAATTTCAAACAAAACCTCTCTTATAGTGTCCGAACACATGAAGTTTGTTGGTATTTGTTTGAATGTGAACCTTTTTGGGAGGTGGGGGGCATGGCTAGAATTGTTCTTTGAATTGATGTTGATATCACTTGTTTCATCCGGACTTTCAATTTCATATCTGTATTCAAATATCGAGAGGTCATCAGCTGGGACACGACATCTGGATCCAAGACAATTTTGTAATTTTTCCGATTCTATCAAATCATTACATTTTTTTCTGAAGTTATGACAGTTTGTAAGCTGTTGATAAGGCAATAAAATATAAGACAATATACACGTTATAACACACGTGTAGAAACCATTACGCTCCAGTAATTTTGCAAATTTTTTTTTTTTTTTTGTTGTGTGTCGAGATATCATCATCGATATCCTGAATTCTCATGCTTAAGTCAATATTTTTAATTCGATTGAAATTTTTAGCGATAATAACCCTCCTACAGCAAGGACGCTTTAAATCATGTGAAAATACCCAGATACAATACAATATATGAATAAAAAACGATATGGATAAGAGAATAAAAAGTAAGATAATGTACTTAAATATAACACAAGAAGTGTTGAGAACTTTACGCTTCCCTGCTTTTATTACTTCACAAAACTGGATCAATGATTTGTTAATAAAATAAATCTTTTAAGTTAATGTTTTGATAATGCTATGATTCTGCTTTTTTCATCGTAAGAAGTAGCCACAAAAAGTGACTTTGCAGCACTGAAAAAAAAAAAATAATCGACGTGACATGAACAAGATTTTTTTAAATCTCTATCATTTACTATAAATGATCAATAATATTTTTTTAAACGTTCTACTACTCTGATTTTTTAAGGAAAAGTCGTGATATAAGTATGTAGATGGAACCATATACCGATGATAAAGTATTAAAAATGAAATCGAAAATAATGTAAGCTGATCCAAAGTACAGTGATCAAATGCATGATTTTAAAAGCTTGTGAATAAAGTATATCACCGAGAAACTCGAAGTACCCACACTTTTTTTGCTTTTCAATTTTGATAATAATCCATTCATATTCATTAAATCTTGAATTAGAACTTCTATAAGCTACTGACTAGAAGCTAATCAATATATTTAAATTAGTTTTATGGATCATGTACCTTCAAAATTAATCAGTCCTATATTCCGATATTGTAAAAGAAAGGTTTTGTACTTTTCAATGAACACAAGAAATCACCTCACCTCGTGTGCAACAATAATTGATTCAACCAGGACAATATTACTTCAAAAATCATTTCTCTTTGTTTAAGAATGACATAAACGGATAAGCCACAATTTATCATCTACTACATTTTCAATATATTCAATTTCTCATGAAAGATAAAAAAAGGTTGAAAACTTGAGGCAGACTTTTATTTATTCCAAATAGGCACAATGTACTTGTTACTTTAACATTAGAGGGATAAAAAAAATATCCTCCATGATTTAACAAGTCCAGTCTTAAACCTGATCTGGGTTGATGGCTTCCATGACAGCCTTATCTCTTGACTCTCGCACAAACCGATTAAAATCGTCGTAACTATCAACGCGGAGATGTGTGCAGTTGGTTTTTCCATCTTGAGAAACCAGGGCCTTTATAATATATTCCGTCTTATTAGCTGTTGGATCATTGCGACGGATGGAGCAGAGAGCAAGAGGAGGACACATATTCGACTTGAATTTGTTATCCCTATACAAGCTGTCAACAATCTTTTGGAGGCTTTTATCGGCATCCTGAACAGAACCAAAATCCATTTTGTCTTCCTGCAATATAAATAAATAAAAGAATAAATATGAATCTATGAAATAAGAACGCTCTTTTAAAAATAAACGTTAGTAAGACATTCTTCATGTAAAAGTTTTTTTTTTTCAATTTAACCTGTCATTTGTGTAAAAATGGCACGTGATTTCAATGTCCTTGAATTAAGTATTTCATAGGCAGAGTACAAAAAGTGAACAAATGATTATCAGCGCTATTTGCTACCTTATATCATTTTATCTTTGTTATCAGAGAAATCTTAAATCTATATTATTAATTTAACCTTAGTAGTTCGAGAAGACTTTTCTGAGCTAAGAAAATAGACATTTATTGATTTATTATTATTACTTATATAACTGAGAATTCCTCAGAAAAGAAGAAATCTTTAAAGCTTATTTTTAAGGATACTAATTACCATTATTGTTTATGATACTAATGAGACCTTAAATTTGAATCTTTATATATATATTTTTTTTGGACATTTAGTTAAAGCAGATAGTAAATGATAGTTAAAGCATATGCATGTAAGTAGATTTGAAAATAAATTAAAAGATCCTGTGAAAAGTGGAAGTATGTAAAATATAAAATCTATTTTATAAAATTATTTTCCTAATAATGCTTATGAGGATAAAAATAAGAATCATTTAATATGGTCTGTCATAAATTACATAAAAGCAAATTAATGTCAAGTTCTGTGCATTCATAAACAACCTTAAGTTATTAGTCCCCTACCAGAGAAACCTGAGGGGACTATAGGTTTCTCATCGTCTTTTTGTCTGTCTATCCTATTCGATTTCCGCACTTTTTCTTCTAAAGCTCAGCTAAGATTTGTTATGTTATTGTATATTGATCATCATATGTGCCTTTCGTTCCGCGTCAATGATATTTGACGGAATAACGGACTTTCAATATTTAAGGGTTTTTCACGTTTTTTTTTTCCAAAACGCTTAAAGAATTCAAGCTGATTTTTGGTATGTTAGTATACTATGAAGAGTTTAAAATAAAGTAAGCATTTTGATCCGAATCAATGATTTTTCTAATGAAAAATGGACTTTCAAATTTCTAATGAGAACCAGATTCTACCTGCTGTTCGTGGACTAGAATTGCTTATGCCATACTCACAGAATGCTTCTTTAAAATGATAAAAAATTCTTTGACCTTTTATCAAAAGATTATCAAACATATCGATGCTGGTACGACTTTTGTTATAATCAATTCAAATATGCATTTATTATTTCTGACCAAAATTTAACTAAATGGAAACATATTACAGATACAAATAATACATACATACATACATACATATATATATATATATATATATATATATATATATATATATATATATATATATATATATATATATATATATATATATATATAACTAGCCCTTTCTGAGAAACTCTTGCACGAAATTAATAGGAAATGAATAAGAATAGTTGAATAGAAACATACGAAGAGGATGGTCTCCCGCTGAAGACGGAAAACCTTACTAACATTACCTTTGCAAGGTGCTGTCTTCTCAATCTTTCTTGCAGTTTAAACCAGACTTTGTGTTTTTCAGCTATACTCTCATAAACCTTTATATAGGAATGAAGCAGGATGTTTATCACTGGTCATGGTTACAACTTACATTTTTGCGGTGCTTTGAGAGTTTGATTTTTCGCTGAATGCATCACTTTTACTTAGAAAAATTCACGACCTCCTGATAACATTGTTTATCATAGGAATGTATCCGATTTTATGCTAGGAAATTTAAAGAATGTCAATGACAGGAAGATCTGAAATTATTTTCTTCTGGTACACCCTTTGCAATCTTAAGATGCGATTGACAATAAATATACATAAAAGAAAATCTTTATGCCCTTAACATATTTATGCCAGCAACCGCTCAAGAGAATAGCAGACTCATCCATTAATTAAATTTTTTATACAAATAAAATGATTTGTTTGTGTTATAAGGAGACCATAAACATTTCTCAGATAGTAAATAGTCATGACACCTATTGTAAAGATATGCGACAAGTAGCAATGTTAGAAACATCAAAGAAACAGATTTATCGTTCTATCAATTCTCCTTAAATATTAACCTTTGTAATGTGTATAATACTTTGTTGGTCTTTAACTCATGTAGATTTTCCATAAGATCCATGGATTTCCATAACAAATCCGTGGAATTCCATGGAAAAATGGTTTACGGAATTCCGTTGAATTCTTGGGAGTATTTGGGCGGAACTTTTTCGGAATGGTACAGAATTTCAAATCTAACCTGGAAAAGAGCGGAACAATGCCAGAATAGAAATATGCGGAAATAGCTGGAAATCCGTCGAATTCCAGGACATTGGGAAATCTACGGAATCCCATAGAAAATCGGGGTATTCCAGGTAGATATAATTAAAAACTGCAATAACTAAATAATTAGGGCCAAATAGTTAGGAAAAAAACTTGGCCACTTCACAATTTTTTATAAAACAAATCAAAGTTTTCAAAATAAAAAATCGTTGCTTAACAATGTGTTTTAGGGACAAATATTGCATACATACTTATACAATACGTACAATGTAAGCACCATTTTAAAAGGTATTCTCACTCAAAGATTATTTCTAAGAAATCCACAGAAAAATATCATTACTGGAGGATCACCTTCGATAAATTAATAATAATCATGTTATAATATACATGTCTGTAGTAAACTCCAGTCTCATGAGAAACTGAAAACAAATGACGTTTGGTTTATATATCTTAACACCCACAGTTAAAGAAAATCCTTTGTAGCTATAGTAATCCCAAACATCTACAATTTCTTGATAATAAAACGAAATAGATTTAAAAAAACGACATTAATTATGACTTTTAGCTTCCTTAAATGACATGTTATGTCTTCAACATGCCAATAGATCCTAATTATGGAAGGTCCTAAACTTCTGAAAAGTGGGCTTGAATTACTTCGTTACTGATATCCTATTACATTCACTATTAATTAAACAATAACAGATTGTTTTGTTAGAAGATGGTCAAATAATTAATTGGTGTCACGATTGAATTCACATTTGGTAAGAGGGCTTCAAAAGCTCAGCAAGTTTGATATTGATCATTCCAACAGACACTTCAAACACTTGAAATTTTTTTTTGCACAATTTTTCAAAAGAAAAGATTACTATAAAGATGTATGATATATATCTCATATATAAATATATGACAAATAATAAACTAAAGCTCTATAAAACAATTATTTCTTTCTATCTTGCAAATTTTTTTGTTCAAATTAGGATTGATTCTTTTTTTAAACTAATGGAAGTTGCAAAATAAAAACAAAAGAAAAACGAAGATATGTGTGTGAAACAATGATGCCCCATATGACATCTCATGTCTAAGCTAAGAGTTTCTCAAATGCAAGTCAAACTCCAAGGTCAAAGTCAAAAGATACAAAGAAAAGTCTCGTCTCAGTGAATATAACTATGAAAGTCCTAGCACCAAACATTGAAAAGTTATGGTAAAGGTTAAAAGTTTTCTGAAAAGAACGTCAAATGTCAAGGTCAAATGGTCAAAATTGATAGTGCCCAAGGGAAGATCTTATCACAAGAAATACACTTGTGAAATATGAAAGCCCTATCACCAACCAGTCAAAGGTTATATATATATATATATATATATATATATATATATATATATATATATATATATATATATATATATATATATATATATATATATATATATTTATATAATAATAATATTAATAATAATAATAATCGTCAATTATGGAAATCGCACTTCACGAGAGTACACCCGATAAGCCGGACTCAGTTCATAGCGCTCGGATTTCTTTCTTCACAACTGTTTATAAACTTCAAATTAAAAATGTTACACTGTAAATATTTAGTGTTTGGTAGTTTAGTAGTAGTGCTAGTTTTGTTTCTCTGATTCCTTTGTTTTTATGAGTTCTTATCGTTTTTCTTTGTCCCGAGGAAGGGACAGGTCGTCCCGAAAATTTGACAATTTTTATTGCTTCGTGTCGTTCGTCATTTTTAATGCTTTATATGAATTTCTATCTGTGACCTTGTATCTACTTAGTAGATCCGACACTTAGCATGTACGGTCTTGTTAGGTTTCAGTGCTGATACATATATATATATATATATATATATATATATATATATATATATATATATATATATATATATATATATATATATATATATATATATATATATATATATATATATATATATTTTTTTTTTTTTTTTTTTTTTTTTTTTTTTTCCCATTTTCAGCGAAACTACTAAAGGAAATGAAAATATAAAAATCTGAAATACATATCCAACTAAAAAACATTGCATTTTATGTTTATTATATTTTCTTTGAATTTCACTTAGCCTTTGTCTTTTCTTAACACAGTGTTATAGGCTGTGAAGTCATTGTTTAGTAGTCAAGATATCGTAACTTAGCAGTTGTGAGATTAAAAACATTGTTACATGGATTTTAGCAACATATTTGGGAAGAAATTGACAGTTTTAGTCTCTATCAAGATTGTTTAGTAACTATTTCTTTCTTTTTACATTTTCAACAGTGAAATACACTAATTTATTTACTGAATAAAAGTTATATTCTGACACAGTGTGAAAGGGGATATAGTACCATTTTATACTTCAACATTGCTTGTCATACGCTGAATTCCTTAAGCTTGTGTATAAGATAGAGTCATACAGCAAACTGAAATAATCCTGCACACCTAAAATCTCTTTTAAATTCGCAATTAAGTTCACTGTCTTTTTCTCTTTTTCGTGAGAAATTACTGCAAAGTATATACATTAACAAACATAAAGTTTTTTTTTAATATCTCAAACACCCAACTGAGAAATTTGTAGAGAAAAAAAAAATCAAGGACTCAATTCATGTTTTGTTAATGAATAACTAACAAATTGACTCTTAAACTGTTTAGATTAAAGCATTAGTAGATGCATTAATAGAAATGAAACTTTAAAAACTCTATAACGCCATTTATTTTAGTTGCAAAACTCGATGTTCATCGCTCATTATGATTTCATTTGCACTATAGAACATAACTTTATATCTGAACAATGTTTATTCTCTCTTTTGTACATGTACCCAGCAAATCCTTACATTTATAACAATCTTTAGATCAATGGTTGTATTGCTTCTTCCTGAGCAGTAAATAATAAAACAAAAAATGTTACGGGGCATAAAGTATGCAAATATGAAAAGTGATTCTTATGTTAAGATTCCGTGTAGTGTACCTTAAGAAAATTATTTCAAACAATACAGGCGGAGTGATTGACCTTTCAATTTCCATGTATTACACCGGATGCATTCCAAGGTCGAGCAATGAAGTAAGTATTTCTAGAATTTTTTCTAACAAAAAGTGATGCCTTCAGCAGAAATGAACAACTTATTCACCGCAAAGACGTAATTTTAACCACCATAAGCGATAACATCTTTTTTTTTTCATTCCCATAAAAAAGGACTATGAGACTAGAGCTGAATTAAAAACCTAAAGTCTGGTAACATTTAGTATTAAATTGAGGAGACAGCACATTGCAAAGGTAAAGTAATGTAATTTTTGTTTTTATTTAAGGATCATATTAGAAAGACATTATATCGTCGATGCAATCTTTCTAGTGTTAATTAATACATTGAAACGGAGACCGACCCTATATTCCTATTTTTTTTTTTTTTAATTTATTTTAGCTGTTTTGTTATTTTGACAATTTTCCAACAGAAAACGGAGGCTATAATAAAATTCAAGCAAATATGTCTTCGATACGGAGCAAATAAAGGTTTTATATACATGGTGATTTACATGTATCGATTTTAATGTTTTCTCTCCTAACAGAGAGTTATTTTGTATTAAAGGAACAATCAAATTGTCAATCAGAGTGGTCGGATGGCTTCAGAGAGTAAAGTAAACCTCGTTGTATCTGAGTTCAGAGAGGAAGTTGCAACAAATGAGGTGCAAGTAGTACAAACTCCAGACGAAAAACAGGTATAAGCATTCGAACTATTTTTAGCTCTTCTGAGCCAAAGGCTCAAAGAGCTAAATAAATGCTATGACCATTTGTGCGGCGTGCGGTGTGCATAAACGTTTTAGAATATGGTCTATATTTCAAAAACCCCTTGACCGATTTTTGTCAAATTTGTAACAGAGTATTCTTGAACCAAGGTCTCTCATTTATACTTAAACAAGGGATGTGACACTTTTACAACGGGAAATAATTTAAAAAAAAAACAAAACAAAAGTTCTGGTTGCTAAAAAATCTTCTCAGGATCCAATGGACAGATTAACACCAAACATATATACAAGGATTAGGATATGTTGTAGAATTAAGATTATTCAAGGCATCACCCTGAAGCAGTGTGTGTGGTCTCAAGGTTACTTTAACGTTGAACAAAAATTATGTTTTGATAAAACGTTTGCTTATTATAAGGACTAAGATAATAAAATCTTGTCAGTTGATGCATCTTAGAACCTCATATCATGATACCTTGAAAGTAGTCACGGTGGCCTACTTTTTAATTTTTGCAGGCATTTATTTTCAAATTGATTGA